TTTTTTCATCCAGGCCAACAATGTCACTATTCTTGAACAGTGCCTGACCATCGTGTTCCATCTTCTCATTGCTTGAAAAACACTTCACCACAATTGGATACTCCTTCGTAGCGACGTTCACACGAGTCTATTAGCTGCCGTGTTGTCCGTCACGACTGCCAAAAACGAGATGAAATCGTACTTGCTCATGACGCGACGAATGTCACCGGCGAGGTACAAAGTATCGTGCGGCAATAAGAAATCAGTGCAAACAGACACAAGGTAGACAACCAGGTCGTCGTTCAACGCCACGTAATTGATGACGGACTGACCGTTGACGTCCATCCAGGGGTCAGTGACGAGCGGGCACTTCTTGCCTCGAAGCTTAAGGAAGTTTACCGACCGGGCTTCCTAATAACTGCCAAGTAGCGTCGTCGCCAGTTGCTCTCTCGTCGGGTGGTGTCAGTTCCTTCAGATCAACTGGGTGAGCATCCTTGCTAAAATCCATTCCCGTACAGTAGAACCAAACTGCGAAATGGAATTGAAATGCGGCGACCTTGGTCTGCGAAATTGCGGGGCGAAAGCAGGCAGTGGTGGCAGATGCAAAAGTCCTCTTGGCGTACTTCTTGGCCATTTAATAACGAACGCGCTCCACATGGGGTTTTGCTAAAGTGTGCATGATCTTTTTCACTTCTTGCAGGAAACCACTCCATCTGCCACGAGGACGTCGTTCCAGACGAGTGCTAATTATTATCTGTTGTTCTAGCACTGCTCACCTGTTAAGTGCCTGTGATCCCTGCTGGCCTGTTATCAGTATTGATCAGCTGTTAGTTGTTCTCGTTTCTGAGTACCCACATACAGAATAATCATTTTGGTAGTTTTGTGGAAGGTGCAGGCGTGATGTGACTGACATACGGACACCAACTTCAACGAGTCGCAGTGTTACATGTTGAAGGAGCTACGATATATTTAATATCTTCATTATTTTTTATTTTACGTTGATAAACTAATTTTTACGTTATTACCAACGCTTTGTCGACAAGTAATAAGCCTCACGTATAAAATAATAAAGTACGTCCATAGCGCAACTTGTAGAGACA